GCACAAAGGTGATAACTGTTCTGGGCTCCTGGCAGAAGGTTGCAGCTCCTGGAAATCTCTTAAAATTCCTTTAGATAGTTTGTCATCTTCAAACAGTGGCCATGGGAATGTGTCTTCTATTTCCATGAGAAAGAGATCTCTCTCTCTCTCACTTTCTCTATAAAAGCTTTAAAGAAATAGTCCCTTAGTTAAATGAAGAGAACTGAGGAATTCATTTTAATTGCCTAATGTAGCAATTCCCCAGCTATTACTGGTTCCAACAATATGGTCCGTACTTATAAATGAGAATATTACTAGGACTAGGAATACATCTAAATTGTGACAGTCATGTACCTGTTGCAAAAATCCATATAAATCAACTTAAAAAAACATATTTCACACTGATTTTCCTCCCTTGCCTCCAAATATTTACCAGCTCTTACTGCCAACAATAGTATTTTATTCTATAGATGATGAAAACTAAACAAAGCCCACAGTTCCAAGGACTGACAATCTAAACACACCCCAGGGAAACCAACAGAGGAATTAATGGAGGGACAGTAAAATTGTTTTCCTTGTTGCATTGTTAATTCACATCTTAAGGGCTGCACAAGAGAATGAATCTCTGGGAGGGTCATGAGTTCTGTGCTGATGTTACAGCTAGCTAGTTTATCCCTTTTTGTGCCTTTGGGGCATAAAGGAAAATAAAAGGCAACTAAAAAACAGTGGCTGTAACAGTGACAGAAGTGTGAGGGAAGCACCTTTTTGATCCCATTTAACAGCCTCACTCTTCCTTTCTTTCCTTATTTTTCTAAGACAAAGATTACTCCAAAAAACAAGAAGATTAAAATTGGAAAGTCAAAGCTATTATCACTCGTGGCTCCCATTTCTCCTTCTCTGACAGATGTCATTGCAGTGACTGCACTGAAAGTCCAATGTGTGAATGTAAGGCCATTCCAGACCTTGATTGCTGCAAGATGTGCAGAAGAAAACAGAATTCTGGGAGCCAATTTACAAGGGAAGTGGGTCCTGGAATCCTTTGGAAGGATGCAAGTAACTTCCTCTTCCATCCATCTGTCTTTAAACCAGTCATGTCTGTTTGAGCTCTGAAACCTTCACTCAGTCAGGCAAAGTGATACCTCTAAGGAAGTTTGTAGAGTGTTGTGGGGTTTTTTTCAAAGTAGATAGAATGCAGTGAGCATAAATATTTTCCAAACTTTCCTTAAATTTTTTTCCTCCAAATCTCCTGGGCTTAATGTTTTTCTTCATCTTATTCAGACAGTACTCTGTCCAGTCCCTAGAAGTGCCCGGGAAGTGTGCACTGCACAGAGAATAGAAATCAAAGCCATGCTCTTTAGTCTGCTTTTGTGTAATACCAACTCAAGCTTCCAGTCCCAATTTTTAAAATGCGATTAAAGTGTAAATTACAAAAGATAATACTGTTCCCAAGGACAGAAAAAAATATTAAAATAAGTTTGCATATCGAAGAGAGAAAAATCAATCATTGGCAAGAAGCAGCCTAGGATATGAATGAATTGCATGCCATTTAGAGAAACAAATAAATGCAAAAGAATTAATCAGTAGATTAGAAAGAGTGTGATGCTGCTACAAAATAGAAGAGATTACAAGAGGGCATGAAAGAATGACCGCGTGCATCAAATCATAGCTGGTTTCTGCCCAGATGGAAAAAACACTGAAGAAATGTTTTGAAGAGGGTTTTTTAGCAGGACATGAATTAAAGGTAAATGAATCCAGTTTGTGCCTCTCTCATGTACACACACATACACAAATTCTACTTTCATAGTCAGTCCCCCATCGTGCATTTCTGACCCTCGTTCTTCCTCTGCCTCTTCACTCTGTCTGGAAGGCCAGATTGTGGTGGCACAACAGCAGCATAAAAAATAGATGAGTTTTTTTCTGCTTTTGCATTCCTGACAGATTCCTCACAACTCCTCTTAACTAGACTGAGAACCTGGGAGAGAAAGATGTAGAAACAGTCAGGCACAGCGAATAGAATTAAGAAATATTTGAAAATAGACTTGCAAGCCAAGACATGCAATAGCCAAATTCACTTTAAGTCTCAACAACCCAAGTTCAAAGGTTTGTATTACTCAAGAATATCCTATGTTTAGCCAACACTGCTAATCTGGCACATCTCTTCCTTGTCTAGCCAAGGTTTCTTCCTTTTCCACCTCAACATACTCAGAACAGATAAATGCAGTGTTACAGATACTCATAAGCAGAGGGAACGTGACTGAAACATCAGTGCAGCTTTGAAAGGCAGGCCGTATATCTACAGTCATGATGTGTTTGAATTTTGTTTTGTTGTTCTTCATGCTGTTTGCCAGTAATAAATGGCAATTGTACTTTCCAACCATGTTCAGCTGGGCTCAATGCCATTTTTTGCTGTTTTTGATGGCAGACTTCTCAAAGACATATATTAAACTATCTGGCCGATGCAATAACTCACTAAGGCTGCACTCTTGTTTCCAAGGAGGTCCTATAAGAAGAGGGAAAGTAGGTTTTTTGAGAAAGGCAGCAGTCTTCTGCATTAGTAATATTAAACTTTCCCATGGAGTTTTAATAGCATTAACAAATTATTTTGATAAAATACAGGAGGCTTTGCAGATGTTTTTTTCAGGGTTTCAACAGAGTAAAATGTGCAAGCTGTACACCCACTCCTCGATGGTGTAAGCTCCCTTATAGTCTGTCCTGTGACCATTCTCAAATACAGTAATGTTACAGAGTTAATCTCATAATGGTAATGTGTCCACAAACAAATTACTGCAGTAATGTTGTTAGCTCAATTAACTTCTGAATCTATTCACTACGCAGAATTAAAGGTCATTTTCTATTAAAATATCTCCCTCCCACTTCCTTATCACCCTTTGCAACTTATGGGAGTTAATATTAGAAATCATGTCTATGCTATGTCAGGAAGAAGACAGGATGATGAAGCCAGAAAAAGACCTTATTCTTTACTAACATAACACAGACACGGCCCAAAGAGAACATCTGCCTTCTTTCATGAACACATCTAATTATGGCAAATTGTTAACACCTTGAAGAGGAGTTTCATAGAAGGGTAAACTTTAACATATGCCATCCTCACACATAAAACATCCTGTACGTCATACTTTTTCAAACACATGCCCTTTTTCCTACAACAGTTTATCAAAGGCCTTGTTTTTTTGAAGAGGACTTCAACCTCTTTTCCATTCCTGTGGATGCATTTTTTTTTAGTGCTTGCAAATATTTGCCAGTACAAATAAATCCACAGAAACATCAAACTATGTAATCTGGGAATGCAGTCAGGAGAGGAGACAGTAAGGCCTGCAAAACTGCAAATGCAATTATTTTTCCACTTGTAATGCAAGCCACTACAATTTAGGTCTTCTGCAAAATCCAGCCTTTACAGTCTTTGGGCACTGCAAGCTTCCTGTCCACCTTACAGCTCCTGCTATTCTTCCCCTTGAGATCCCACACTAAAGTCACAGTGAATAATTTGACACTATTATTGCCATGGCAACACCTTGATGTCATGCATACACAGAACCATGATTGACATTCCTGCAGTAACCAACAAAAGGAGGAATGAGGGGAAGAGGGAGAAAACCAGACTCAGCTCCAATACTAATGGGGGAAACAGAGTATCATTGGCTCTGTAAATATTGCTTTTTTCATAAATCTGCCTTCTCCTGTTTTTCACCATGTCAGCATTCCTGTGAAGGGCTCCCATCAGAGCCCAAAACACACACACAGTGTAGAGGGGGCTTCTGTGTCTGAGTTTGGCCAGAGCACAGCAGGTGCCCTTCTGACAGTGCTGTCCCTGGGGAGAAGACTCCATGCTATAGCATGGAAGACTTTTGCCTCAGAGGTTAGTCTTAAAAATGTGCCTTTTAAATGTCATAGGTATGGCCTAAAATAACACAAGACTTTAAACTATGTGTTTTTTGCCTCTGAGGATAGTCTTTAGGTGTTCATCTGGGATCTTTTTTCTCTTTTCTTTTCTTTTCTTTTCTTTTCTTTTTTTTCTTTTCTTTTCTTTTCTTTTCTTTTCTTTTCTTTTCTTTTCTTTTCTTTTCTTTTCTTTTCTTTTCTTTTCTTTTCTTTTCTTTTCTTTTCTTTTCTTTTCTTTTCTTTTCTTTTCTTTTCTTTTCTTTTCTTTTCTTTTCTTTTCTTTTCTTTTCTTTTCTTTTCTTTTCTTTTCTTTTCTTTTCTTTTCTTTTCTTTTCTTT